CTCTCTCTCTCTCTCTCTCTCTCTCTCTCTCTCTCTCTCTCTCTCTCTCTCTCTCTTCGTTTCCCAACGAATGTAATTCACAAACATAATTCGTATTGTATTCAAAAGTTCGATGAATACGAAGGAATATTTTGGATACTTTTATCATTCGTGTAATGTCAACAAACGATGGAGAGACCTCTGTTCGAATATTTTATTGGTAACCAATCGAGAATATTTCGTGTCCATCGGACTCAGACTTCCGTGTGGTTGACACACGACACCTCTCGTTACACTTGTTACACGTGCAGTGAATCTGATCTTAAAGAGAACGAATAATCCGGATTACGGTGCGTGGTTATGACACGTAACAAGAGGTGTATAACATTGAGATTACCGCAGATCGGAATTGATTTTGATTCGAATTTTTCGAATATCCTTTATGGTTAACCAATCGAATGTTATCGGTGAAATTTTGGAAAATTATGTACAAAAGAAATCTATTATTTTATATTTCTTTTTTTTTTTTTTTGGGATCGAGATTGAGGTGTCATAAATTAAGAAAAGAATTGTACAAATTTGTATTTCTTATTCGAGACTCTTTCGAAAAGATTATGGCAAAAATAGGAGAAGAGTAAACTGATAGAACTTGTTATTATTATTATACTGTACTTATGAGCAAGAATGGATGAGCAATCAACGTAATGACTATCTAATAATAACCAATTCTAAAATGGTTACCATTCTATGGATAGATAGAAGATTAACAGGGATAGAGGATTGGGTTTATTGTTTCTTTTTCCAATAATAAAATTGCCACGATCAAGATTGGCAAACGACTAAAAGTGAAAATACTTGTCGAAATTTAATCACGTATCTTTATTAAATCGAGAAGAGGAAAAAAAGAAAATGGAAATTGGAACGCGATACGTTTTAATCGGAAATACTTTCGTTCGACCAAGAGAGTCAGACCTTGCCTCCTATCCATTAAGTAATACGTTCTACGCTACTCGTTATAAAATTATATTACGAATTAACCGACTTCGTGGCTCTAAGTGACCGTGAAAGGTCGGTTTTTGCAAACGACCGTTCTGATGATTAAGCAATCCCGTGTAACTATCCATAGGGTTTCTTATCTCGAATGCAAGGTGTCTTGTCACGTAGAAAACAGGAATCGAGGTTTTTCTTCGTTTATCTCAATTCGTGAAGGTATCTCTAATTTTTATATAGGAGGAAAGGAGATAGATCTTGCACTTTTGTATTTTATTATTCATTGTGTCATACGTTAAAAAATTAAATCATTTGTTTTTTTCTTTTTTTTTATTTTTTTTTTGGATTTTGGTATCTTAATAATTTATCGTATATTTTTATCTTATCACTCGTTAACGTAAAGCATGTAATAATTTAATTAAATTATATTATTAAAAATAAATTGTTTAATTAAATTAAATAATTAAATTGATATAATTTAATCGAGAAATTCGTCGGATTAAACTTTTGCACGTTGTTGTACTTGTAAGCATATGACTCATAACGCCCTCCATGAGCCACCATCGAAACAATGGAGAAGAAAGGTAAAAAAATCCTCTACTTTTCCCTCCGATTCTATCAAATGATCTTATCAAATGGTTACAATCATTCACGAGCTCGGATTTTGTTCGATTTTTATCTTGATTCATTGTTAAAACCAAAAAAAAAATTTTGGAGGGCAAATACATTTGAGAGTTGTTCTGAAAATACATTGAGAATAAAGAAATATTATTGTTGAACAATCAATATATAAGCAAAAAAATAATTCTCAAGAGTTTTTATCACCAAATGAATACTTTTAAAATGAAGCAATATTTTTGATAGAATTTCATTTTCATTATGCGCATACTTGAGTTTGTTATTAAAAAATTTCAAGATTTTTTAAAAGATTTAAAAGATTATAAAAAAGATAACTTCAAAATGCTAAATAGAAAGTATAATAGATATTTAAACTCGCCTTAGTTTGAATCTTTGATTGTAGTTTTAAATATGTTTTATAATAATATTATAAAACAACAATTTTTAAATTTGTTGAAGTAATAAGTGTAAGACTTATCTTTCTTACTAAAGAAAATAAGAGATGTTTGATCAACAGAGATTTTGAAATCAATCTCTTTGATGTAAAATTTACTCTTGAGTTTACCAATGTTCAAGACTTTCTTTCTTCGCAACTTGTTGAATATAAGTAAAAGAATCAGTTTGAATTTCTTTTTGTGGAACCAGTTAAAAACTTCAAACGTAATACATCCACCTGTAGATTTTATTAAAATGAAAGGAAAAAATAAACTTCTCTGTTTTTTCATTTACAGGATACATTTTAGAATACTTTGATCATTAAATATATTTTTCATTTTTCTCAATAAGTTATATGATTACAGATCATCTTAAACAACTAGTACATATGTATAGATGAATATCAATGAATAGAAAAAAATAATCGACTTGGCATTTAATATATGGCTTTCATTGAATAATAATTAAAGACAGTATTTATTATCAAACTAAAAAAAATTTGAATTATTCATTAAATAATATATACTTTGTCCTTTATTTTTTACAATTTAATCAAATTTACAATTAAATTGATATTCATAAATAAATATCGTTGAAATATTTAATATAAGTTTAAAAAAAACTCTAAAGATAAAAAGAGTCATTCAACAAAATAATTCCATGTACTTCAACGATTACAAATACCAACTTTATAACTCTTGAAAAATAATTTATATGTTCTACTAACTACACACGTAGTAATAACGAAGGATAAAACCATTACAGATAGTTTCATCCGTAATTTACGTTTAAATTACACGTTGTGAGAGACAGTAAATATCTGAATATTTTTTTCAACGATAGTCAAGTGCTTTAAATCATTTCTTAAGTAATACAATTTTCTTCTTTTTTCAAAATGTACATAAATCACATAAAAATAAAACCAATATCTCTGTAGACGATCAATTAGTGATATATTTTCCACCAATATTTTTGTACAAATATTTGCACCTCGTTTTCATAAATCTTTCGTTTCTCTTCCATAAAATTTTTATACAATTTTCACAAAAGTAGAGATGTTATCGATATAACTTTTTCTCCAATTTTTCAGAAAAAGACAAAAATTCTCAAATGTTCCAAAAACAATTTAATTTAACATTGGCAAAGTTCAATCTTGTGAAAGACGTTTGGGAAACGAGGTTGAAAATCTAGATCGAATTAATTTTTTCATTTTAATATATTTATTCATCAACTTTTTTTTCTTCTCTTGGCGCAGAACTTGTCCAGCGCGTTTATACAAACCGTACACACATAAGAATAGAATAAAGAATTTTTCAAAAAGAATCTTGAAGAGAAATTACACACGAAACAAAGTTCATCGAATTTTCATTCCAATTATATGCAAACGAAAAAAAAAAAAAGAGAAAAATCAAAATCTCTATTCCTCGAACAAAGAGTTTTCTGGACAAGCGATTCAGAAAGAAGAACCTTGGAACTTTTTTTCTTTTTTTTCTACGAAATAAGTTTGCATTTAGAGCGTACAAGCGCCTTAACGTTTTTCACGCTCTTACCACTCACCCCGACCGCCGGTTGTGTGTGCATGTACGTCACCCACACCTTCGCATCATTTACACG